TGGCTTCAGCTCTTTGCCAGGTTTCCCCCTGCTCATGTTTGGATTCCAGGTTGAAGCTTGAAGTAGTGTTGTCTGGATTTTTAGTGGGTTACATTGTTTTCTCCAGGAAAGAGCGAGCAAAAGGGAGTGCAGACGGACTCACAGTCCATGCAGTGTCATGCAGGATAGAGTTTCTTTGGTTCTGCCAATAGGTATTGCAGTGTAAAATGTCTGGAGGCTAGTTGGGGCTGCTTCTCTAGAGACAGGACCAAAGTATACAGTATACTGGCTTTCATTTTGCTGTTTTTGGGCAGTCAGGGCTGCTTTCCATTTCCTACAATGTTCCAATATAACCAAGACACATGTGCTCGGTAATGGAGGCCTCTGAGACCTGGGGCTTCTGTAAAAAGGAAAAGAGCAAAGTAGTATTTATACAGTATAATATTTTGATTCGCTAATGGGCTGTGAGGTGGGTGTTATCACGAACTACTGTGCGGCAAGAAAGGTTCCTAAAACACGTATCAGCTTGCTACATCTCCAAACCATTGCAGATAACACAGTGTTTAGTTTCTAATTAGACTTGTGTTGTGCTAATTCTCGTGAGCAGTGCAAGTGATTGACGTGCTGCATTTTAGTGGCAAGTAGCAGTGCAGCTGAGTGGAGCTCAGTGATGAAGCCAGCATCCAGCTGCTGAGGAAAGCACAGTGCTCCCAGAGACTGATTTGCAGGATGATCACACGCTGATTGGTGTGGCCTTGCTCCGAGGGGAAGGAGGAAATAAAGGCACATAGTCTTCAATTAGACTAATGATATTTTGGTCCTACAAGGATTAGGAAACATCTAACTGAAAATAAAAGTCCAATGTGTAATAGTTCACAAATCATGTATTTACTTTGGATAGTATTTTTCACTGTTTCTTAGGAGAGGATGGACATTATTCTTTTTCCATGCCTCAGTCCCCTGTATTTAAAACACAGATGGTTCATCCTAAGTGCTGGTTTCTGTTCATACAAGTAATAAGTGTAAGCTTCAAGGCAGAGCCTTGTGAACTGTTTCTTGATGGAACGTGCCAGAGCAGCACAGGCATTTTATGTAACTAAAATTATTTCAGAATAGTTTTTGCCAGCACTTTCCTTTGTGGCCAGCTCAAGTCAATATGTTTGGTAGTGCAGTTCCACTGTGCATGTAAAAATAAAAATATGGATTTGATGTAACAGTCTCATTGAGCTAGATTGGGTTACTGTAAGGAACATCTCCTAGCTTAAAGCCTCTAGTCAGGTCCAAATCCCTTCAGTCAGATTCTTGATGTAAAGTTTGGCTTTTTCAAATCATCATCATCATTGCATTCAGCACTAACAAAGGCTGTGCCTGTGACTCCTGGATGTTTTTCATGTAGCATTTGATTTTTTTCACAGCCTTTAAAGCCCCTGTGAGGCCAAGCAGGGCTGTTCCTTTGCTTTAGGGGCTTTTTGGGCCCCCCATACATGTGTTAAAGGAGAGGTGCTGGCTATGGAGTGGCATTTTCTCAGGATGATCAAGCTGTGGCTTGCTGCAAATCCCATCTGCCCTCTCCACATGCAGCATTAGAGGCCCTTCCTGGAACAAGCTCCTTGGGGATTTACCTGCGTAGGATTTACCAGTACGGGGTCACCGGAGAGGCAGATGGGACACATGATGACAGACTTGGACCAGTTGCATTTGGCAGAGAAAACACCTATGGAGTAGGATAGTGACTTTATGGGTCAGAATTTATTTTTAAGTGGTATTCTTTGTGGATCTCATCCCCCAGTCAAATAGCAAATATTGTGGTACAAATAGCAGTGGTACCGTGCAGGGCTTAGATTTTCAGAATTACCAAGTGGGCACTGCAGGCTGCAAAGAGTGTGTGTGTGCAAACCCTGGAACAGATAAAGGTATTTGTTCTTATCTGTGTGCTTCAGCCTGCCGGGGATACTTTTTTGCAGGCTGTGTAAGGAAAGGTCAGATTTTGCTTTGTCAGTTGATGTTGGGGTGAATTAAATCAGATTTTAAATCCACAACAATATCCCAGGTAATAAAACTTAATCTTGACGTAAGAATGACACATTTGTCTTCTGCTTGAGAAAGAAAGGTGTAGAGCAACCCAGACTTTTCATACTGTTTTGTCTCTCTCAGAAAGTACAAAAAGAAGGCTCTGGACTTTGCAAGAGCTTTAGGAACTTGGGAGGAAAAATCATGTGGTGTAAACGTTCACTTGACCCAATTACGGGCAACATGTTTTAAATATATGAACTGGTAAAGTGCTCATGCTTTTTCATACTGAGTAAAAATGTTCTGCTGCTTGCTGTGAAGATGAAACTTGTCTTGGACTTCACTGGCAGTGAAACCAGGCTTGCTACAGATCTGTGTTGTAGATTCAGTCATTTACTCATATTTCAGTTGTGTGTTTTCCAGTTTTTCTTCCTCCACTGCCCTATTAAAGTACTACAGATGCCTGGAGGGCCATAGTCATTTAAAAGGTTTGAAGCACTAAAAAGAGAAATTTTGGCTCCTTTTTCTTAGCCAAACAGTTTTTATGTACCAAGTACACTATTTTATGCTGCCCAAGGGAACAGATATCATTTGCTATACTTTAACACAAAAGCCATTCTGGCTCTCCTTGAAGCAAGTGAGAGCATTCCACTTGCTTTCAGTGGGAATTTGTAGCAACCCATGATACAGTTTCTGTCAGAGCAGGAGAAAGCTGAGAATCCATAGTACCATGCAAATGTAAAATGGAAGAACTTGGTGCCATATCATTTGCACATTTCAGAGAGAAACTGTCTTGGGTTTGGAGGAAGAGTCCCATAAACTTGTTACTCAGGCACTCTCACATCCAGGGAAATCCAGAGGAAGAGTCCAGGGGAAGGAGTGACCACCTGCTTGTCCTGGGTGTTCCCTTCAGTCTGCAGGGTGAAGTGTCAGCTGCTGTTGAATGTGCAATAATCACCAGGAAATCATAAATCTAGAATAGTTGCTTGTGCAAAGCAGAGCTTGAAATGGAAGAACTCCAAGGAAGACATCTCTTTTTTAAAAGAGAGTTTTCCCTGGGCTTTCCCTGCCACAGGCCAGCCGAAGTTTGGCTGCCCCAGAGCTGTTCCCTGTGCACCTGCTGCTCACTGTGCCTGAGCAGCCCTGAAAAGGGGAACCCAGCACTGGGAGCGTGTGAAGGGGAGTGTATGGGTAAATGTACCTTCCAGACACCTGCATCAGCAGCAGGGCAGCAAAAAGAAATGTCTCATGTTCCCTCCACGAGATCAGCCTTAAAATTCTCCAGAACAATGAGGCGTCTCTGCAGCTGTGGAGAGCCTGGGGTCTTGTCAGGCAATCATGCATTTCTCAGCTTATTCTTGTTGCACCTTGATAGAGGTAAGACTTAGTTATTGGATCCTCAACTTTAGACTCCCTCTAGTTACTCAGTGCACAGAGTTTATTTTATCTATAATTTTCCACTCTAGCCTTACAGTTTACTATAGGGAGATTATATACTTACAGCTACTGGCAGAATTTGCCTACCCGGAAAGGACGTGATTTTGAGCTCCATGGGATGTTACTGATATGTAAATAATTTCATCTCACCCAAATAGTGGCCACTCTGTCCTTTTTCACAATATACCTTGCCTTAATGTTTTAAAACAATGGGTGATTTTGGGTGATCAGGTTCAGCAATCTTCAGAGGGACCCAAAATCTTTAGAATTGCTTTTAGGGAAGATTATATCTTCTAAAATCACATTGCCCCAAGTTTCAAAAATCTCAGGCTTGCCTCAATATTCATAAGAGACCCAAGCTCAGCGATATTCAGTATGAAAAAATACCTTTATGCAAAGTACTTTACATGCACAGTAAATGCATTTTAGAAGCTGTTTGAAATGGATGTGTAGAGCCTTATGTTCAGAGAAAGGCAAAAACTTAGCAAACAGGAGTTTTTGAAACTGGGAACAAGCGGGTGGGTCTTTTTCTACTGGATCTGGATTTTAATTAGACCTCTGTGCTGCCGTCTGACCTGTGATGAGGTGACACATCAATCTGCCATGCAGTGATCAGGACAGAATGGGAAGGAGAGGCAGAGACTGGGAGAACCAGGGCTTAGAGGAGACTTGGACTTGTGTCTGAAATGGCCCATGGCAGTGTCTGCTTGGTGGGGCTGCCTGGAGATTTGAAAGATGAGCAGAATCAAGGAAAATACCAACGAAGGAGAAATGAAGTATGCTCTGGGCATTCTGTAATGTTCTGTTCTCACCCAGCTCTATGTGAAGTTGCAATATATGTGTACTTATGTTGATTTATCTTCATATTAAGGTCAGTTAACTGGTTCTTCCACACAAGTAGAACACACATTTTCTTACTGGCCTCAAGAGAAAACAATTCTCTGGTGTTCATTCTGATGAATTTAGAAGAATTTCTCAGGGCATTTTCCCAAATTCTCTGCTTGTATGAAATGGTGCAGCATCACTTTACTCAATGCAAGCTTATGCCGGTTTTTGTGGCAGGTGATATGGTCTTGGTGACAAATCATGTATCCCCAGTTCCTGAGTAACCAAGAGATGGAAAGTTTTTTGTTAGGTTTGGATTGTAGCTTTCCTGTAATGTGCAACACTGTGAGTGAGCTGGCCTAAGCCAGTGGGGTGTCTGTGTATGCAGATGTTGTACCCCAGCTGAAACAGGGGAAGTGGAAGAAGGGGAGCAGGAGAAGGGTTGGCAAAGCAGCCACTAAATCCAGCAAAGCTTCAAGCACTGCCAGTAGTCTTGAGGGTGGTTCAGTTCAGGAGGTTCAAAACAATTGCTAAAGGAGCAGTGCATATTTTCCATCCTTTCCTATGAAATGACGTGGTTTGTTTGCTGTTGCTTGTTTACCTGTTCTGCATGGTATATTGCATTTATCAGTCAAATAGACTGTAGGGGGTAGCAGTACTTTAATAATGATGTTTTGACTTCTGCTGTGTTTATTCTGTGTTTTCTGACTAAAATCATACTCAGATGGCTTTTTCTTCTGCTGTTCCAGCATATCTGTCTCAGGCTGCCCCTAAAAAGAAAAAGAAGTAATCTGGCAAAATGAACTCAGAACACACAAAGAAGAACCACTGGAGACTAATCTGCAAGGTATTCAGGTATTTGCACTTTCATATCCTACAGCAGTAATTGGTGCACACACATGGTATGCTCTGCAGTTCTTGTGCTTGTTAACTCACACAAAGTGGGTGCCTTTATTATCTAAATAAACAAAAAGTCATGTGAAAGATGAAAGTTGTTTAGTCAGAATGCCCCCATTCAACTTAAAGATGGAGGCAGGTTTGTAAAGGTAGAGTTGCAGCTCCAAGTTCAGCACTCATTGATGCTGCTGTCCATCACATCTGTTAGCCAGGTCAGATTTTACCATCTGTTACTGCCCAGTGCACTGATGGCCATCTGAGAAGTGGTGGAGAAAGAGGATCCTTCTCTGACTTCCACTGGAGCAGAATGAACAGCCCCTTCTCTGCTGGTGGGCTAAGGCACTATGACACTCCCAGTGACCTCAGGAATTAGGTTCCTGGGCTGCAGTGAGGAAGAAATTAATTTTGGATCTTGGAGATGCCAGAGGTCCTGTGTCACTTGCCAGGCCTCAAGGATTTTTGCGAGCTTTAGGCTGTGTATATGTCCTGTATACAGCTGAAAGAAAATAAGACTTACCGTTCTTCTCAGTGCAGAAATGGGACTTCCTAGTTGGAAAGCAAGAACAATCTAGAGAAATGTTGTAATTTTCTAGATAATAGGAAAATAGATTTTTGTTCTATGAATACATACAGGAGAAAGTAGCACAGCTCTGTTGAGTCTATGTTCCATGTCTCTGAAGCAGGGAGAATGCTTGTGTGATTCCTTCTCCATGCACTGTGTAAGCAGGTGATGACATACGTGCTATGGATGTGTAAAGTGACAACTTAATGGCAGCAAGTAATTACATATGTGTTTGTATGGTGGTGTAAGTGCAGAGGTTGGCTGTACACAGCTTTGTAGCTGATTAATTGGGGGAAGTAAATGAGCTGCTAATGGGAGTAAAGGCAAGAGTTAATGGGAGTAAAGGTAAGAGTTGTGCTTGCTGAGTGCACCAATACCAAGGTACATTCAGAGAAAACATTTTATTTGTACAGTCATTGCAGTCTTGTTATCTCATTGCAATGATTAAGCTGTTACAATTAACAATTGTTCATAATGAAGTATTTTAAACAAACCCATAAAAGCAGAGGTATCTCCTGAGGGTATATATTTAATGGTTATATCACTGATATGTGAAAAATCACTCTTGTTGCATGTTATATCATATGTGACTGTCTGAAAAGCAGATGCAAGTAAACAGTAAAGTTACTGTGAGTATTATTTTATTCCTGAATTGCACACTCTATCAGCTTCCAGATATTTCTTTGCATTGGTATTTTTGATGTGTCCATTCCTGTGGTTTTGGCAGTGTGTTCATAGACACTGTTGATGTACCCTTTCAGATTCTGCTACCAAACTGCTTCTGGGACTTCATGCAGTTTGCTTCATTTGAGAGAACCTCAGATAAGTTATATGGAAAAGTGATAGTAAATCCCAGAGTACCAGGTTGTGTTGCACATAATGCAGATGTAATACATGGGACCAGTGAATGATGGTTTAGTATGTAGTATTATTAGTACTTTTCCTTTCAGTATTTTGTCTTTTTTTTTTTTAACCTTTTTTTTCAGCATTGGACCTCCAATGCAAGTAGTTGCTTGCCATGGTGTCCCAAAAAAGTAAAGCCAATGGTGAAAATTCTTGTTTTTCTACCAAGTGTTTTTAGAACCTTGAGCCAGTTCATTAGCCTTCAGAAACATCCTCAGTCTCACTTTAGAACTACAGTTTTCTCTGTAAGAACAGGAAACTCCTGTCAAAATCTCCTAATGTAGACTTAGGAAAGGTTTCTGTTCAGCTTTGAAGAATGATACTGTTTTCTTTAAGAAGATTAGTTGTATCTAAATAATTTAAACTTTTAAACCTTTTAAAAATAAGTATGCTTGAGATTAAAAAAAGTTCTACTGCTCAGTTATGCAGTTCATTCCAAAGAGTTACCACTTAAAGGCAGGAGAAACAAGCCTTACACCAATTTTATTGACAATAGACGGAAAGAATAGTACCCGAGAACATTCTATAAGCTGAAATTATGGACTCATTCTATACCCAAAGGTGGTGATCAAATCAAACATCCAGTATTTTAGATGACAATTACTAACCTTCCTTAATGTTCTGAAAACTTACCATTATGGGGAAAATAGACTTTGAATTTCAGACTATGATCATTCCTCAAAATAAGAAAACTCTAAAAGTTGGATTTTCCTATAAGAAATTTCAGACTGTATATGATTTGGGTAACTATGACGAACAAGCTATTTTAGAAAGGATTTTTTTTTTCCTTCTTTGGGGAAAAAATGCACTTAATGCTTTTTTGCAAACCCTTCATGTTTCTAACACTACCATGATACACTATTTTCTAAACAAGTTACAGGTATAACAAAGCTGCTTACAAGTGTTGCTGTGTTTGAGAGATACAGCTTTTAATTTGGTTCTGTTTTCACAGAAGGAGTGCTTCCATTTCACAAATTTTGTGTAATTTTGGGACCTGAGAAACTTGCAGTCAGTATTTTATCATAGTCAGTATTTCAAGAAGATGATGTTGCTTTAAAAGGAACTTTTCCTAATTATAAAACTTTGCAAAAGTCTCAGATTTTTAAAGTTCCCAAAACTGTGGTCTGTAAGTTTGGTTTCCTGGATAATGTTCGCAACATCAATTAGTTTAGGGGTTTTTTCCCCCCAGCCTTTTTTTTTTTTCTGAAGGCAGGGCACTCATTGGACATAAGTAGCATTTATTGAACAGTAATGTGGGGAGGGAAGAGAGTTTCAGATCTGAATTAAGTCTGAGTTATAGTGACTCATAACTGGCAGCAAAACACCCAAGCAGAGACGTGAGACAGGATGAGATTAAATGAGACAAGCCATGAAAGAAGGGACAGATTTATGACTTATTGGCCTACAGATGGGATGAGAAGATATGAGTGGAGAATGAGATCATCAGGCAGAAGTCTGCTAGGGGAAAAGGAGGGGGTTCGCAGGACACATCCCAGTAGCCTCCCGTGCATAGTGATTTAAGCCACAGGAAAATCAGTATTAAAAATTATACAAAGATGGGTTAGATCCCAAATCTCAGAGAGGCTAGATTTTTCTCTCCCTACACTTAGAAAAACAAAGACACAACTCTGAGCCTGCAACAGTACGTGCAGAGTGCACACTCCAAGGGTAGTCTCACCTGGTTAAATCATTTTGGCCTCCTTTCAGAGTTACCAATGCAGGGCTCTTTTCAGCAGTTTAAGAAAACTGCTGTATTGCTTAAAGACAGGAGGCAGAATTTTCACCTTCAATCTAAGCAATTCAACAGTTTTCTTAATTAAGATTTGCTTTTCATCCCTGAAACTGAAAGCATGTTTCTAAGTAACTATGTCCTTCATGCTAGGCTGCAGCCAAGGCACTGTGTATGGGTTATAATTGGTGGAATTGATTGCCAAGTGTGTTTGGGTGAAATTTCAGTTGGCCAAATTATAATCCATTTCAAGATTCAGTATCTTAAAGTTCTCAACTAAAAAATGAAAATATGACCTTGGCTGTTCACAAAGGCTTGTACAAATCTGTGAAGTTGCTGTGTTAACATAGCCGTGACCCCTGCCCCTTTTCTAATTTTGTTCTTATATCCTCTGCAGAGAGATGAGGAGAATCTGTTTGGAGAAATGCACTGAATTCTGCCCTTTAGCTGAATCTGTAGAATCAGTTGGCAGCCTCTTGAAAAAACTTCTCTGGTGGAATTTCTTCTTACATCTGATTCTGATAAGAGTGGGGAAGAGGCAAATGTGTGTTTGTCACAGATTCAGTAATTTTTGCTTCATGATTCAGCTAAGAATACTAAGGACTCATCTGTGCATGTGGACAGGTTGAATTCAAAGTTATTAAACTTGGTAATGGATCAGTAGAACTTCAGGTGATCAGTAGAGCAGTTCTGATTTGGCTGGAAGTATGAAATTTCATTTGGAATGTAATAGTGAACTGCATTAAAAATTCACAAAACCTCTGTTATTCTTTAACTGTATCTGGAGCTATTTAGTTTTGTGTGGAACTGAAAAAATGGCTAGCTTTTTCCTTAAAAAGGTAAAGTTTAAAAATGGTGAAACTTTTTTGCTCAGTTTGAGCCAGTGGGTTGAAACAGGATTTGGTTAAGCCTCAGTGTGTAATACTGTGCATTTTGTTTCATTATTGCTGATCATTTGCTCCACAGCAGTGTGCGTGGGGTCAGAATTCCCTTCAGGAAGGGCTGGAACATCTGAGCTTGGTGCTGGGACTCATCCTGGTGCAGGAGGACTGTCCAGCTGCTCAGACTGGCACCTGTCCTCAGCCCTGTCTGAACCCAAATGCCTAAGGAAGTGTGTAAGGACAAGGAAATTGTAGATCATATTTCAGCTAAGTGATCTCTCGGTGCTCCCCCACCCCAGAGAAACATGCAGTCAGGCATCGTTTATTTCTCATTAGCAACTGAAGTGATTTCTGTTCTGTAAACTTTCCCGACCTCCCTCTGAGCCTTGCAGCCTCCCTCACAAGGGGTCCTACAGCAGAACACACCTGTTGTGAAGAGCCACTTCATTTTTGTTTGTTTTCAAACTACCTTGTGCTAGTTGGAGATGAAAGGATGCCTTATAGAATCTGATAGTGAAACTAGAAAAGGATTTTAATATTGTATTTTTGAAATGTAATTTGTGTTTAGGCATTAGGTTAGTGTGGTGGATATAGCACGGTTAAGTAATCCAGGACTGGGTTGCCTTGTGAGGGAAATAAGTATAACCTGAAGGGTCTGTGCTTCAAAAGAAGTTAAGTCTTAGCAGCCATATCAGTTTTAAGCATGGGCATATTTGGTAATAGCAGGAAAACTCCTGGGTTCCAGTTAATGAATCATTTAACTCCTCTGTGCATTTCAGACTGAGTTGTGCTGGGGTACTGAGTCTGGGTGTTACTCTGGAGGTAGCTCTCTGTTTGTAAAGTTTAATCCTGTTATAACGCTTACGGTGGTTTTGGGGGTTTT